CTCCTGAGGGCTGACCTTGAAGGTACTCCAGGAAGCTTCCCTCCTGAGGGCTAACCATGAAGGTACTCCAGGAAGCTTCCCTCCTGAGGGCTGACCTTGAAGGTACTCCAGGAAGCTTCCCTCCTGAGGGCTGACCTTGAAGGTACTCCAGGAAGCTTCCCTCCTGAGGGCTAACCATGAAGGTACTCCAGGAAGCTTCCCTCCTGAGGGCTGACCTTGAAGATACTCCAGGAAGCTTCCCTCCTGAGGCCTGACCTTGAAGGTACTCCAGGAAGTTTCCCCCCTGAGGGCTGACCTTGAAGGTACTCCAGGAAGCTTCCCTCCTGAGGGCTGACCTTGAAGGTACTCCAGGAAGTTTCCCCCCTGAGGGCTGACCTTGAAGGTACTCCAGGAAGCTTCCCTCCTGAGGGCTGACCTTGAAGGTACTCCAGGAAGCTTCCCTCCTGAGGGCTAACCATGAAGGTACTCCAGGAAGCTTCCCTCCTGAGGGCTGACCTTGAAGATACTCCAGGAAGCTTCCCTCCTGAGGGCTGACCTTGAAGGTACACCAGGAAGTTTCCCCCCTGAGGCCTGACCTTGAAGGTACTCCTGGAAGCTTCCCTCCTGAGGGCTGACCTTGAAGGTACTCCTGGAAGCTTCCCTCCTGAGGGATGACCATGAAAGTACTCCAGGAAGCTTCCCTCCTGAGGGCTGACCTTGAAGGCACTCCAGGAAGCTTCCCTCCTGAGGGCTGACCTTGAAAGTACTCCAGGAAGCTTCCCTCCTACCCCCCCTTTGTATGATACTACTGATATTCTGTTTGTCCCTGACTCGTGTGACTTTTTTGTTCTGGACATTTTTGGCCATTTTGTTGACACTGCTTGTACAACACACGCAGTTCTACAGCCCTTACACTATTCCATTCCTTTCGGCTCCGCTAGCGTCTCTCATAATCTGCAAACACAAGTAGTGACGAATGCCTCAGTTCTGAAAAAGATTGTGAGCCCAGAATAAAGTATCCATCCTTCAGTTAAATGGTTGAAAGATATCGTCACCCAATTATACGTAGATAAAGTATTTCATGGTTACCTTGGTGATGGTTGTCCTCAATGTCGCTATGATGTAGCTGTCGTAGAGCAGACGCCGAGGTCAAGCAGAAATTCTGCCGCCATGGGTCACTCGCGCTAAGCAGTTGTCCCTTCTCCTTCCTCTGTCCTTCTGTAGTACCCCTGTGAGGGTTACGGGGTTATATAGCCCGCCAGGGGGCGTTTCACAAAGCGATCACAGCGCTACGACTGCCGCCCATGTCAAAGTATCGGTGATACGAGAGTTGCAGGGGTATAATCTCAGTATTCCAAACGTGTCGACAATTCCATATTTGGGCATACCTCGGCCTACCTCTCAGTGATTTACAGTCCTTTTGTAGCAGTGGTGATCAAATTTATTTTGAATAAATTGTAATATACCTTGAATTTATTTTTGCTCCGATAAATGATTAACGACGAATTATGTTTGTATATAGATATTGCAAATGCAAAATTGACTTCTTGAGTGCGATTCGGTATGGGCATGTCCATTTGTTGTGAAACGGACATTATGACCAAAATGTTACACATTATTATACATTGTTGTACCTTTTACACTTTATTACACATTATTATACTTTATTACACATTATTATCGCAGAACGGGGCCTCGCTGTATGGGTACTCTGGTTCCAGGGCAGTGTAATCTCGTGTACTTCGGTTCCAGGGCAGAGTCATCTCGTGTACCCTGGTTCGAGGGCAGTGTAATCTCCTGTACTCTGGTTCCAGGGCAGTGTAATCTCGTGTACTTCGGTTCCAGGGCAGTGTAATCTCCTGTACTCTGGTTCCAGGGCAGTGTAATCTCGTGTACTCTGGTTCCAGGGCAGTGTAATCTCGTGTATTCTGGTTCCAGGGCAGTGTAATCTCGTGTACTTCGGTTCCAGGGAAGAGTAATCTCGTGTACTCTGGTTCCAGGGCAGTGTAATCTCCTGTACTCTGGTTCCAGGGCAGTGTAATCTCGTGTACCTCGGTTCCAGGGCAGTGTAATCTCCTGTACTCTGGTTCCAGGGCAGTGTAATCTCGTGTACTCTGGTTCCAGGGCAGTGTAATCTCCTGTACTCTGGTTCCAGGGCAGTGTAATCTCGTGTACTCTGGTTCCAGGGCAGTGTAATCTCCTGTACTCTGGTTCCAGGGCAGTGTAATCTCCTGTACTCTGGTTCTAGGGCAGTGTAATCTCGTGTACTTCGGTTCCAGGGCAGTGTAATCTCGTGTACTCTGGTTCCAGGGCAGTGTAATCTCGTGTACTCTGGTTCCAGGGCAGTGTAATCTCCTGTACTCTGGTTCCAGGGCAGTGTAATCTCCTGTACTCTGGTTCCAGGGCAGTGTAATCTCGTGTACTCTGGTTCCAGGGCAGTGTAATCTCGTGTATTCTGGTTCCAGGGCAGTGTAATCTCGCGCGACAAGGATGATGCTATTGACGTGTGGCCGATGGCGTCAGCCGGAGGCTGGTACGTCCTGGAGACGAACTACGACCACTGGGTGAAGCCTTTGTTTCTGGACGACCGACGGGGCCCGGCCAACCAGTGCATGAGGGAGACTACACAGCAGGTGGGGTAGAGAGGAGGTGGCCCTGGGGTGGGTAGAGAAGAGTGTCCCTGGGATGGCTAGAGAGGAGGTGGCACTGGGGTGGGGTAAAGAGGAGGTTGCCCTGGGTGGGTAGAGGAGTGGCCCTGGGGTTGGGGAGTAAGGAGGTGGCCCTGGGGTGGAGTAGAGAGGAGGTGGCACCGGGATAGGGTAGTGAGGAGGTGGCCCTTGGGTGGGTAGAGGAGTGGCCCTGGGGTGGGTAGAGAGGAGGTGGCACCGGGATAGGGTAGTGAGGAGTGGCCCTGGGCTGGAGTAGAGAGGAGGTGGCACCGGGATGGGGTAGAAAAGAGGTGACCCACGGGTGGGTAGAAAGGAGGTGGACGTCGGGTGGGGTAGCGAGTAGGTTGCACCGGGGTGGTTAGAAAGGAGGTGGCACCGGGGTGGGGTAGAAAGGAGGTGGCCCTGGGGTGGGTAGAAAGGAGGTGGCACCGGGATGGGTAGAAAGGAGATGGCCCTAGGCTGAGATATAGAGGAGGTGGCCCCTTGGTGGGTAGAGAGGAGGTGGCACCGGGGTGGGGTAGAGTGTAGGTGGTCCTGGGGTGGGTAGATAGGAGGTGCTCCTGGGGTGCGTAGATAGGAGTGGTCTGAGGTGGGGAGAGAGGTTGTGGCCCTGGGGTGGGTAAGAGGCGACTAACGGGATCGGGTGGTCAGGCTCGCTGACTTGGTTGATGCATGTCAGTGTATTACAATACAGTAGATTGATGCTCATGATGTCTATTTACAGACTGCCTTCATATAGCTGGAATATTGCTGAGTGCGGCGTTAACAACAAACAAATACTATCTCTCCCTGCGTGCGTGTGTACTAGCGCATGGCTTGGTCTATTTTCACAGGGGGTATCTCTTCCTGCACTGTTCAATGTCCTGTCAACGAAGCCCGTCCTTAATAAGGTATGTTTGTAGTCTCGAAAACAAGGTAAAGCTTACAACACCTTAATGTGTTCAAGACCCGCGAAGATTCCAGGGTAGAATAGGTCTTCAGTAACCCATACTTGCCGTAAAAGGCGACTATGCTAGTCGTAAAAGGCGACTAACGGGATCGGGTGGTCAGGCTCGCTGACTTGGTTGATACATGTCATCGATCCCAATTGCGTGGATCGATGCTCATGATGTCAATCACTATATTGTCTGGTCCAGACTCGATTATTTTACAGACCGCCGTCATATAGCTGGAATATTGCTGAGTGCGGCGTTAAACAACAAACAAACAAACAAATCAGAGTTGTCACCCCTTTCGCCATTTGTTTTGACGTTGCTATATCCCCTCCGTTATAGTCAAGTGATACATGTCTGCTTCAGCTTCATAAATACCGGCGTTCATCTTTTCCTGTTTAGGGAACCGTCTACACAGCGCTGATGCACGTGGAGAGCGGCCATCTTGAAACCTGGATCCGAGAGTGTGAAGACCCGTGCCCTCCATTTTGATGTTGATATAGAAAACTATGGATTATATTTGTTAATCAATAACAGACATATATAGTGTTTAGTCAGTAAAGGTTGTTTACGAGGACATGTTGGTGTGCTTATTTCAAACCTATTGGGTGGGTGAGTGGATGCATGAATTTTGAGCCATAGTCTGAAAGGTTCCATTGTCCCAATATTGATGCCCGCCGGCTGGGTACGATGTCATACTATCCGTGACAGACATTGACGTCACACTACCCGAGACAGACAACGATGTCATACTATCCGTGACAGACATTGACGTCACACTACCCGAGACAGACAACGATGTCATACTATCCGTGACAGACATTGACGTCACACTACCCGAGACAGACAACGATGTCATACTACCCGAGACAGACAATGACGTCATACTACCCGAGACAGACAACGATGTCATACTACCCGGGACAGACAATGACGTCATACAACCCGAGACAGACAATGGCGTCATCCTACCCAAGACAGACAATGTCATACTACCCAAGACAGACAAGACGTCATACTACCCGAGATAGACAATGGCGTCATACTACCCAAGACAGACAATGACATACTACCCGAGACAGACTATGACATGCTACCCAAGACAGACAATGACGTCATCCTATCCAAGACAGGCAATGATGTCATACTATCCGGTCGCTATTTGGCTGAAATAATTCCGATGCGACGTTATATTTTAACTCACTCACTCACTCATACTACCCGAGACAGACAATGACGTCATACTACCCGAGACAGACAATAATGTCATGAGTGTAGTTTGATTTGACGACACTCTTGTGGGTCCAGTATTTCGAATCGAACTCAAAACGTAGCGAATGGTTCCAGGGTTTTTTATGAAACTAGAATGGAGATAATATACCCTGTTATATCGAGGACGCCCCGCTCCAAGTTGGACTGTAGATTACATGATGAGGTCACTGACGTTGCTATTTGCGGCACAAAGCACATATATGCCTTTCTACACATAGAATAATAGATCCACACTATAAAGTACAATACTCTGAGCCCGCCATAACGGTACCGCACTAAGTCCTCCCCGGTGGCTTGCACCATTAATCCACGGATCACTTTATCCCTGGAGTGAGAAGTGCGTCGGCCCTTGTACTTGCTTCATAACATCTCTCTATTTTACCGACTCCATTTGTGTTTCCGTCTAAAAAGGGAGATGAAATCTGCGGCAATCGGCCGCTAATCAATATATGGGCGTTAGCGTCAGCCGGCTATACGGTCCCTAACTATAATCACGTACCACTCGACATGGACAGGGAAGTGACACTTAAAGAACGCGGAGATCAAACGTACTTGCATCTTGTTACAGCAGCTGATATTAGGACGTTACAATACAACAAGATGTGAAAAGAAATGGTGATTTGTTAGCTCACCTTATCTGTAGTATTAATGTTTGTTAACCTGTATTCGTAGATGACAGGTGGGATGAGTGAGTGAACTGTTTAACGCTGTCAGCAATATTACCGTTATATCCTGGCGGATCGTACATCATACGACAAACAACAACACATAATCTGGCACCGTAAATCTAATAGGGACATTGTATCTATTTTGTGGTAATCCACGTTTCGCAAGACAGATAACTCTTTATACTCGACGTCATATGGAACAGCACTGAACCGTATATCGAGGTTTCCGTGACTACGCATAGCCAGCAGTGGGTTGTTGTTCTGGGAGACCCGGGGCGACAGATGTCGCCTTCATGTTCTCATGGATCCACGCGGGGATTCCTTGGTTGAATCCCATGTTTTTCATAGGACGACCCCCCACAGTGGGGATTCCGGGTAGAATTGATGCCCAGCAAACTATCCTGGTATTAAGAGACGGGTGGATCGGGTGGTCAGGCTGGGTGACGTGATTGATGGTGTGGATCGTTGCTCACAATATCAATCACTGGGTTGTCTGGTCTAGCCGCCGTCATATACCTGGAATTTTGGTGTACAAACGCATACACAAAAGCACGCTCTTACGCACGCACGCACGCACGCACGCACACATGCACGTACACATAGGATGATTGTGAATCATCCTACCCCGACAACTCCCCCTGCTACCGTTCCCCGCATGGTCGTCTTCAGTCAAGGCTCGGTGAGTCACAGGCTGGATATCGCCGCTTGCGGCCTCAAACAACATTTCCTCCCTCACTCGCTCCAGGTGACAAGTCGCTACCAGTTGTAGTGTGATGGTGTTATTGTTGTTACAGAGGTCGTCACGAGACAGGAAACCAACCCAGAAAGGGTGTTTTTGTTACATAGAAAGTGGGTAATTATTGTCTGCGCAGTGACCGTTATTTCTTCCTCTGAATGACGGGTGTAATTGGCGACACTAGAGTTAACCTGACGGAAATACCGCAAAGACACGGTACCAATCAACGCTGACACATTTAACACGTGATTATTAGAAGAATTCGCGCTCACAATCATTTCAGCTTCACACATTCGTGTCACGCCACCAGTTCTCTACAGTCCGTGTTTCGTGTAACACTTTACACACACACTCAGTGTAACATTACGGGTTTATTGTTACAAGTCCACAGTTTGTTGTACTCTATTTTGTCCGCAATGAGCGGACGTCAACAGTTCGGCAATGTGTACAGACCCTGTGGGGATTATTGCTGTATCAGGCTATTCTATACGTGTGTAATGAGCGACTGTCAACATCGCGCACCTGCTGTGTAGAACCACTTGTAAACATGTGGCAGCCATACACACGTCACTGGCGACAGGCGTGTGGCTGGTTCTCTTGACGAGTGCTTCCACATGCACTGGTTTAAATCCATCACACCTCAGACGCGTATAGCTTCATGCAGCTTTAGACAAGCATAGTTCCCCTTAGTAGAGTCATGGTAATTCGACTCAAACCTCAATTTCTAATATCTTGCTTTCTCTTCTCTTCTACCATTCTCTGTTGGTTTTTGTTTTGGTTTGTTTGTCGTTAAACGCCGCACTCAGCAATATGCCGGACGGCGGTCTGTAGGTATTCGTGTCTGGACCAGACAATCCAGTGACTGACATCATGAGCATCGCTCCACGCAATTGCGATACGATGACAAGTGTCAACTTAGTCAGCGAGCCTGACCACCCGATCTCGTTAGTCACCTCTTACGACAAGCATAGTCACCTTTTACGGCAAGCATGGGTTGCTGAAGACCTATTCTACCCCGGATCTTCATTGGTCCGCTCTGTTGGTACTACATATTGATATATGTTACTATATGTTGATATATGTTACTACATGTTGATATAAATTACTACATGTTGATATGTTACTACGTATTGATATATGTAACTACACATTGATATATGTTACTACATGTTGATACGTTACTACATATTGATATATGTTACTACATATTGATATATTTTACTACATATTGATATATGTTACTACATCTTGATATGTTACTACACATTGATATATGTTAATACGTGTTGATACGTTACTACATATTGATATGTGTTACTACACATTGATATATGTTACTACATCTTGATATGTTACTACATATTGATATATGTTACGACACACTGATATATGTTACTACAGACCCGTGAAGATTCCGGGGTAGAATAGGTCTTCAGCAACCCATGCTTGCCGTAAAAGGTGACTATGCTTGTCGTAAAAGGCGACTAACGGGATCGGGTGGTCAGGCTCGCTGACCAATTGCGTGGATCGATGCTCATGATATTAATCACTGGATTGTCTGGTCCAGATTCGATTATTTACAGACCGCCGTCATATAGCTGGAATATTGCTGAGTGCGGCGTTAAACAACAAACCAAACCAAAATATGTTATTACATGTTGATGTGTTACTACATATTGATAAATGTTACTACATATTGATATCTGTTACTACATATTGATATATGTTACTACATATTGATATCTGTTACTACATATTGATATATGTTACTACATATTGGTACATGATACAACATTATAAGTTGTAGCAGGATCACGAGGGGTACATGGAGTAGTATGCGTTAGGTTAGGTTTTATACCACATTGGTGTATGTTACTACATGTTGATATATGTTACTACATGCTGATATGTGTTACTATATGTTGATATATGTTACTTTATATTGATATATGTTACTATATGTTCATAAATGTTACTACATGTTGATATATGTTACTACATGCTGATATATGTTAGTATATGTTCATAAATGTTCCTACATGTCGATATATGTTACTACATATTGCTTTATGTTACTAAATGTTGATATATGTTACTACATGTTGATATATGTTACTACATAGTGTTTTATGTTATTAAATGTTGATATATGTTACCACATGTTGATATATGTTACTACATTTTGAATTATGTTACAAAATGTTGATATATGTTGCTACATGCAGATCACTGTTATCACATATCAGCAACTAGGTAATAACGCTTGTTATCATATACCAGCAACTAGGTAATAACGCTTGTTATCATATACCAGCAACTAGGTAATAACGCTTGTTATCATATACCAGAAACTAGGCACTAATGATTGTTATCATATACCAGCAACTAGGTAATAACGCTTGTTATCATATACCAGAAACTTGGCACTAATGATTGTTATCATATACCAGAAACTAGGCACTAATGATTGTTATCATATACCAGAAACTAGGCACTAATGATTGTTATAATACACTAAGACCTGAGTGGTAGTGCTTGTTATCTATCTGACTAGTCATATTCTTTTCGGAGTTCTTGTATAGATCATCAATATATTGTACTTGTTTTAATCATGACATATTTTCACGTTATATTACTTCTGTAGCTGTCTGCGTCTAGATCGATAAGACGTGGCAGTAGAACGACTGTCCGGATCGAATAACTGTCTGAATATTCTAACTTTAGTCCTACTAAGTAACTACAACAGCTTTAACATGTATGTGTGGTATTGCTTTATATAAACGCTGGTCAGCCAGACGCGGGCGTTTTAACGCATGGTCACAGGTTATAAGGCGCCATGGGCCGAGCCTACTGGAACACTACATACATGTTGCGTGGATAATCCACTTTAGTGACTGAAAGACATGCGGAAAGCAATATATAAATACCTACGTTTTCTGGCGGCAGAATGACATGGATAGAACTCTGTGCACACCCAATGTCGACAGTGTTATACAGTGGAGCTCCACTCTCGCCTGTACTGACAGCGCTGCTGACAGTTGCCCACGCGAGTGCGGCCGCTGACCAATGACTGGCCGTTACAGTACGGCGTGTATAACACTTGTATATCTTGATTGGGGGTATTGCCGTGCGTTATGAGCCGTATACAGCCGGGGTGTATTTCAACGGCTGGTGTGATGTGACAAGAGAGGATTATGCACGGAGACATGGAGGTAGGTTGCTAGAAAACGTTTCAGAATGCCAAACACAACACAACCCATCTATACTGACTATCATATCATTTCAAAACTTTTATTGCAGGTTGAATGATTTAAAAAACACACATCTTTTTTCACAAGCGTTTGCACTTCTTGGTGAGTATCAAGGTGTAAGATCGCGTGACATCGTTGACCTCACAGATAATAACGTGCAGATCACGTTACACACGTCTGCATCAAAGGGGAGAAATATTTCACAACCATGTATTTACTACTTGGTCATTGTTCTTAGAAACACAACACAACCTCGCGGCTGTTGGCTCACTAAGTCCCCGCACAAGGGTGGGCATGTGTGGTCGACTGGTGTTTGTTGTTTAACGCCGCCCTCCGCAATATTCCAGCTATAGGACGATATTCTGTAAATAGTCGAGTCTGGACCAGACTGTCCAGTGACTGACATCATGAGCATCGATCTACGCAATTGGTATACGATCAGTGTAGAAATTAGTTACTAATGTCCAATGACCAGGAGGGCTTTGAATGGCAAACATTTCGACAGACTTTGACATCAAATTACGCCTTAACTTGATGATTCGTAGAAATATATATGTATTGACAAGAATTTTCAACTAGATAGTCGGGCCAGCTTTACGGAAATGTTATTGTACCAATTAAAAGGTCACTAGGTTTGGCTGCTATTTCGAACACGCAATTGGGATAGGATGAAATGCATCAAAGTTAGTGAGCATGACCACAGGATCCCGTTAGTCGCCACTTACGACAAGCATAGGTTGCTGAAGACCAATTCTAACACGGATCTTCACGGGGGACAAGCATGGGTTGCTGTAGACCAATTCTAACACGGATCTTCACGGGGGACAAGCATAGGTTGCTGTAGACCAATTCTAACACGGATCTTCACGGGGGACAAGCATAGGTTGCTGAAGACCAGTTCTAACACGGATCTTCACGGGGAACAAGCATGGGTTGCTGAAGACCAATTCTAACACGGATCTTCACGGGGGACAAGCATAGGTTGCTGTAGACCAATTCTAACACGGATCTTCACGGGGGACAAGCATAGGTTGCTGAAGACCAGTTCTAACACGGATCTTCACGGGGAACAAGCATGGGTTGCTGAAGACCAATTCTAACACGGATCTTCACGGGGGACAAGCATGGGTTGCTGTAGACCAATTCTAACACGGATCTTCACGGGGGACAAGCATAGGTTGCTGTAGACCAATTCTAACACGGATCTTCACGGGGGACAAGCATAGGTTGCTGAAGACCAGTTCTAACACGGATCTTCACGGGGAACAAGCATGGGTTGCTGAAGACCAATTCTAACACGGATCTTCACGGGAGACAAGCATAGGTTGCTGAAGACCAATTCTAACACGGATCTTCACGGGGGACAAGCATGGGTTGCTGTAGACCTATTCTAACACGGATCTTCACGGGGGACAAGCATAGGTTGCTGTAGACCAATTCTAACACGGATCTTCACGGGGGACAAGCATGGGTTGCTGAAGACCAATTCTAACACGGATCTTCACGGGGGACAAGCATGGGTTGCTGTAGACCAATTCTAACACGGATCTTCACGGGAGACAAGCATAGGTTGCTGAAGACCAATTCTAACACGGATCTTCATGGGGGGAAAAGCATGGGTTGCTGTAGACCTATTCTAACACGGATCTTCACGGGGGACAAGCATAGGTTGCTGAAGACCAATTCTAACACGGATCTTCACGGGGGACAAGCATAGGTTGCTGAAGACCAATTCTAACACGGATCTTCACGGGGGACAAGCATGGGTTGCTGAAGACCAATTCTAACACGGATCTTCACGGGGGACAAGCATGGGTTGCTGAAGACCAATTCTAACACGGATCTTCACGGGGGACAAGCATGGGTTGCTGAAGACCAATTCTAACACGGATCTTCACGGGGGACAAGCATAGGTTGCTGAAGACCAATTCTAACACGGATCTTCACGGGGGCCAAGCATAGGTTGCTGAAGACCAATTCTAACACGGATCTTCACGGGGGACAAGCATGGGTTGCTGAAGACCAATTCTAACACGGATCTTCACGGGGAGACAAGCATAGGTTGCTGAAGACCAATTCTAACACGGATCTTCACGGGGGACAAGCATAGGTTGCTGAAGACCAATTCTAACACGGATCTTCACGGGGGACAAGCATGGGTTGCTGAAGACCAATTCTAACACGGATCTTCACGGGGAGACAAGCATAGGTTGCTGAAGACCAATTCTAACACGGATCTTCACGGGGGACAAGCATGGGTTGCTGAAGACCAATTCTAACACGGATCTTCACGGGGGACAAGCATAGGTTGCTGAAGACCAATTCTAACACGGATCTTCACGGGGGACAAGCATGGGTTGCTGAAGACCAATTCTAACACGGATCTTCACGGGGGACAAGCATGGGTTGCTGAAGACCAATTCTAACACGGATCTTCACGGGGAGACAAGCATAGGTTGCTGAAGACCAATTCTAACACGGATCTTCACGGGGGACAAGCATGGGTTGCTGAAGACCAATTCTAACACGGATCTTCACGGGGGACAAGCATGGGTTGCTGAAGACCAATTCTAACACGGATCTTCACGGGGAGACAAGCATAGGTTGCTGAAGACCAATTCTAACACGGATCTTCACGGGGGACAAGCATGGGTTGCTGAAGACCAATTCTAACACGGATCTTCACGGGGGACAAGCATGGGTTGCTGAAGACCTATTCTAACACGGATCTTCACAGGGACAAGCATAGGTTGCTGAAGACCAATTCTAACACGGATCTTCACGGGGGACAAGCATGGGTTGCTGTAGACCAATTCTAACACGGATCTTCACGGGGGACAAGCATGGGTTGCTGAAGACCAATTCTAACACGGATCTTCACGGGGGACAAGCATGGGTTGCTGAAGACCAGTTCTAACACGGATCTTCACGGGGGACAAGCATGGGTTGCTGAAGACCAATTCTAACACGGATCTTCACGGGGAACAAGCATAGGTTGCTGAAGACCAATTCGAACACGGATCTTCACGGGGGACAAGCATGGGTTGCTGAAGACCAGTTCTAACACGGATCTTCACGGGGGACAAGCATGGGTTGCTGAAGACCAATTCTAACACGGATCTTCACGGGGGACAAGCATGGGTTGCTGAAGACCAATTCTAACACGGATCTTCACGGAGGACAAGCATAGGTTGCTGAAGACCAATTCTAACACGGATCTTCACGGGGGACAAGCATGGGTTGCTGAAGACCAATTCTAACACGGATCTTCACGGGGGACAAGCATGGGTTGCTGAAGACCTATTCTAACACGGATCTTCGCGGGGGACAAGCATGGGTTGCTGAAGACAAATTCTAACCCGGATCACGGGGTGGCCGACTTTTGAAAGCGGATATAGATGGACTATATATAGCAGTGTACCTGCATCGAGACTTGTGGTCGACCAATGGCACAATATTGATCAGACAACTCCACAAAATACTTTTCCTAAAAACCGACATACTGTCATACATCCCATAATTTCATATATTCTCGTTTCAACGGGTAAATTGTAGACACAGAAATCTCCGTAATGCATGGCCTGCGATCTACCTTCCCGCCGTATATCATCACAGTCTGCGTTGTGCCATTCAACTGGTCACAGTCTTTTTTAACAATCTTAATGTAGTTGTTTTATTAAAAAACTGAACAATTTCAATGAGTTAATGTAACTTAAGAGTTTAGACAGACACATCAAACACGTGTAACCCTGTGTTTCTAAGCGCACGTGGTATACACCGACAGCTAGAGTGTGTATACTAACTACCCCTCGAGGACCGTACATCCCAGAGACGATCAACACTCTCAGGAAAACTCGTCCACTTCTCGCGAGGACAGCCAAAAGCCCGCTAACACATATACCAGTCAGTGAGATATACAACGCTGTCAACGTATCTCCTTCACTGTCTTATAACATGCGTAAAAGGGGTGCGCGAGCAACATGGAATTTATGACAGTTGGTAGAGTTAAGGCACGTGTGGATATTATCCTACACAAAGGGAAACAATATCACAAAGTCCGGCGAACAAAAGGTCCTGATTCCTGATGTGGCGGAATGGTCGTCTGCTGACAATATGAAGCAATATGTATCCACATATCCACGGATGTAGATAAACGCAGGTTGTTAATGAAAGTTGTGATAATTTACAACATGATAAAGTGTTGTAGAGTGGCGAGGTAGAGATTAGGACTGATAGCTCGCAGACAGGGAGGCAGAGGTGACAGACAGGGGAGACACGAGACATCGGCATGTATATGTATGTATATCTATTCGTTTCATTACCGCTTCTAATGAAATGAGAGAGAGAGAGAGAAAGCGAGAGAGAGAGAGAGACGAAATGAGGTTTAACGTCGCGTCCAAGATTCCACTTATATACACACGTGTGTGTGTGTGTGTGTGTGTGTGTATGTAGTGTGTGCGTGCGTGCGTGCGTGCGTGTGTGTGTGTGTGTGTGTGTGTGTGTGTGTGTGGCTGCTTGTACTAGTCCGGACTGGTGCCGATTTATGCCGCAGGTTAACATGAGTACCCCACCCAGACACAGTATACTGACTCCGAGCCGACACAACCTGGCTTGTACCCACGTGATCACAACTCAATGATGATGTTTCTCAAATATAAACTTTTCTGAAAACATATCAGTGAGGGAGTGAGTATGGCTTTACGCCGCTTTTAGCAATATTCCTGCAATATCACGGCGGGGGACACCACAAATGGGCTACACACATTGTACCCATGTCGGAAATCGAACCCGGGTCTTTGACGTGACGAGCGAACGCTTTAATCCACTAGGCTACCCGACCGCACCGAAAACATATTAGATTTACTGCTCACATGCTATTTTTTTTGTAAATATATGAAATAAGATTATGTTCTTGTTTCAATGAAAATAACTAGTAACATATTTATTTTCTTTTAGCATTAGTCATCCTGTCTGATGTGAAGAATATTTAACATCAGAAGAAAACTATTTCGATAGTGAAACAGACAACGTAAAAAGCGACTAGGGTATATAAAATATAATGCAGGCGTTGGCGCCTTCCTACCCATAGTTCCTCGCTCAAACTACATATCAGCGTCCGAGAGTGATGCGGCTACGCATGAACGCATGACGTCATAGGCATGTATGTGACGTCATAGACATGTCTGTGACGTCATAGACTAGTGACAGGGTTCGCCGCATGCAGTAGGATCCATGTCTCTCATGTCTCTGTCTAACCGAATCCTGATATTCCTCGTGTCCATATATTTCAGACCTCTGATGGCAAAGCGGCGAAGGTGAAAGAAATAATCAACACCACGCCATGAGTCTGGAGCAGGGAATTGCGGCTGGTGTGTCGGGCGGCAAAAGCGATCCGCCGGAAAGTGACCTGGCCTATTACTCCCAACCTGAGAATTACACCGGCACTAATTTTCAAGCCTTGCAGAGGTTCGTCCACGCCAAATCGAAAGAAGAAAGGTCCGATCGCGATGATGGAAAGAAAAAGAAGAGGAAAAAAGGGGTGTTTTGTCTGTTTCGTCGTTATAGACACCTCCTTCCTAAAGAACTGGATGATCTTGCAGACGAATCCTCTTCGTCGGAGGAGGAGGAAGAAGCAAAAGACGTCACTAAAGAGGGCGAGGGCAAAGATGAGGAGAAGAAGGAGGAGAAGAGGGAGGAGAAGAAGGAGGAGGAGCAGCCTCAGAGTCGACCCACCTCGGCTCTCTTGTCCCCAGATCTCGTGAGTGTGACCATTCATGAAGAACCGTCAGCCGAGATGCGGGAGACAATTTCTCCGTTGTCGTCTGCCAAGGTCCGTCCTGCCGTTGATGTGCCGAGTCCGAGCGGGACCTCAATGGACAGTGACAGCCCCGACTCTATCGGCGTCTCCGCCGACTACAGCCGCATCAGTGTCAACAAGAAGAGGAGCGCCGTCCTCGCTGGCCATCGCCCGTCGACTGCTCTCATGCGGGCCAATGCGAACAAAATGGCGAAGGAAGTCCGAGCGAAGATGGTGAGTTTTCTATTTGTCATTGTCTTATTGTATCACGCGGAATATAATTTTTTTTTTTTTAAAGTTTTAAATCAAATAAAGTTTTTTAAATAATGAACCATGAAGAAGCATTCTTTGAGTGCTGGTTAAACTCCAGTACGGTTCATTGTTTGGGACATGATATGCCAACTTAAGATATGTTCAGTTGAAAATCAAGCATGTAATAAAATCATCTGAGAGGCATATTTTCTTTTGCCCCTCTTTTTAAATGAGAGAAACGAGTAATGGATTAAATGGCGCCAATCCTAAATTCTGATTGTAATCCTCGAGCAACGGTTACATAGACCAATCCTGCGGACACACTACGTATATTTCAGATTCCTAAATTCAACAGTTTCCCAGAGTGTGTGAAATAAATAATGCTTATTTTAAGGTCATAGGATCTAAACTGAAAACACTCAATACATACAAACATCGTATATCAGAGTAAAGGCTGTAAATCTACAGGGTGTCTGTGATTGTCAGTGGCATTGCAGGGACAAAAATAACCCCCCCACCCCCACCCCCACCCCAACCCCCCCACCCCCACCCCCACCCCACATCATATTCACTGGATGGTCTGGTACAGACTCGATTATTTACAGACCGCCGTCACATAGCTTGAATATTGCGGCGTTAAACAACAAACAAACAAGCATATCAAAAGTCATAATTATTCATGTAACAATGACTGAGAAGTAATGAAAAGTTAAATATACTCAAGTAAGTTTTACCCTCTGCGAATGTTTAAGAGAACCCATAGCAGAGATTAATTATTATACATACTTGTGTTTATGTACATTTACTATGAGTTCATATGAAAATTAACTAAGGTTTGTAAATATAGCATGTAACTGGTGTGAGGCACAGGTATTCATCAGTCTGTTCACGACTTTCAACATGAGAAGGTTGTTTTCCAATCCAAGCCGAATGAGAAGAGGGTTACTTCACAGCAATCTTCGCATTAAGCAACATGTGTTGGATTTAACCTGTACACAATTTGTTTGAAAACACTTTCTGCCCAGCTCTGGGTGTCCGTATAAAGGTTGGTATATCTGTGTACTGAAGAGCGTCAACCTCAGAAACAGAACTGTTGACAATTTGTTTGGTTTTGGTAAGTCAACAGATATATAGAGGTTATCACGCTTGTGTGTTTGGTGATAGTAAACATCCTGTACTATGAATAAACATTGTATTTAGCGAGCCTTATCATATAATGTCATTCTTTAATTCTGCGCTCGAAAAATCTCTTCCAATATGTCACAAATTTTACCTAAACCGAACCATTGCAAGCTTTCCTGGAATGTGCGCATTAATTTATATGACGTCAGAATGTAAGTGGTGTTTCAGTCGGACGGTGACAACAGTCAATATAGTTCCTACTGAAACATGTTTTTTTATACAGTCACGTTACTATGAAAAGTCAAAATCTACACAATCTTTTTCTACTTGCCTTTCGCGGCAATCCATCGGTCTGTCCGCTAGAGTAACTTGGGTGTCTAGTAATACATTGTGAGAATCGAGTCAGGGTCCCACCAATGCAAAGTTTCATGTCGTTCAAGAGAATATAATAAAACTGTGCTGTTTACTACGAACGGCGGTCGGGTAGTCTAGTGGTTAAAGCGTTCGCTCGTCACGCTCGATTCCCGACATGGGTACAACATGTGAAGCCCATTTGTGGTGTCCCCCGCCGTGATATTGCTGGAACATTGCTAAAAGCGGCATAAAACCCTACTCCCTACGAACGATGGGAGCGAGAGCAAATAATTCCTGCTATTTAATCATGAGGTCATTATACATAGCCTAGAATCCATCATGTAATGAGGTTTTAATTGTGTCCGATTCTGATTCAGTACCTGCCTTTGACAAACGCGATCTAAAATTTACATTGAGGATTAACATGAACATTGTTATACCCTTTCTGAACCGATTAGGTACACTGCCATATTTCGTGTAACTAGTCATACAACTACACTGTCAGAAAGGCATTTTTTTCTGTCCAAGGGAAACATCGGTCAAACAGACCAGTACCACCTAAACAACCTAATTGTCCGACTGTTGTAACCGCGTCAAGTGTCTGGAGGCGGACCTGCTGTGGCCCCGTCAGGCGTGCCTCGAAGCGCGATCGGGGACACTGATGAATGTGGTGACACCGTTGCGTGACCGGGGACACTGTTGCGTGATCGGGGACACCGTTGCGTGATCGGGGACACCGTTGCGTGATCGGGGACACCGTTGCGTGATCGGGGACACTGTTGCGGTATGTGACACTGTTGCGTGATCGGGCACACTGTTGCGGTATGTGACACTGTTGCGTGATCGGGGACACTGTTGCGTGATCGGGGACACTGTTGCGGTATGTGACACCGTTGCGTGATCGGGGACACTGTTGCGGTATGTGACACCGTTGCGTGATCGGGGACACTGTTGCGTGATCGGGCACACTGTTGCGTGATCGGGCACACTGTTACGGTATGTGACACCTTTGCGTAATCGGGGACACTGTTGCGGTATGTGACACTGTTGCGTGACCGGGGACACTGTTGCGTGACCGGGTACACCGTTGCGGTATGTGACACCGTTGCGTGATCGGGGACACTGTTGCGTGATCGGGGACACTGTTGCGGTATGTGACACCGTTGCGTGACCGGGGACACTGTTGCGGTATGTGACACCGTTGCGTGATCGGGCACACTGTTGCGGTATGTGACACTGTTGCGTGATCGGGGACACTGTTGCGTGATCGGGCACACTGTTGCGGTATGTGACACCTTTGCGTAATCGGGGACACTGTTGCGGTATGTGACACCGTTGCGTGATCGGGGACACTGTTGCGTGATCGGGCACACTGTTGCGTGATCGGGCACACTGTTGCGGTATGTGACACCTTTGCGTAATCGGGGACACTGTTGCGGTATGTGACACTGTTGCGTGACCGGGGACACTGTTGCGTGACCGGGGACACTGTTGCGTGATCGGGGACACTGTTGCGGTATGTGACACCGTTGCGTGACCGGGGACAGTGTTGCGCTGTTTGACACCGTTGTGTAACCGGGGACACTGTTGCACTATGTGCGGTCGGGTAGCCCAGTGGTTAAAGCGTTCGCCCGTCACGCCAGGTTCGATTCCCGACATGGGTACAACGTGTTAAGCCCATTTCTTGTGTCCCACGCCGTGATATTGCTGGAATATTGCTAAAGGCGGCATAAAACCAAACTCACTCACTATGTGACACCGTTGCGTGATCGGGGACACTGTTGCATTTTCGGGGACACTGTTGCGTGACCAGGGACACTGTTGCGTTATTGTACGCTGCGTGTTGACTAGATAGTGATACATTTAGGAATACGTCCATATCAAGCGATCAAGGAGACGCTGTCTCTAGGGTCCTCATTAACTACTGGATTTACCTGCATCATTGTGTTAGTGGATACAGGCATGGCTTGACGTAATAGAATCCACCCGGGTGGAAATATGGCTACCTACTGACCAATTACTCAACTGTTTTCACGCCAAAAATATACTCATTAGTTCACTGTTGGCCATGTAGTATTATTTCAATATGTCCCTCCAGGAATATAGTCTATAGTTCACTGTTGGCCATGTAGTAATGTCTCTATGTATCCGTCCAGGAATATAGTCTATAGTTCATTGTTGGCCATGTAGTAATGTCTCTATGTATCCGTCCAGGAATATAGTCTATAGTTCATTGTTGGCCATGTAGTAATGTCGCTATATATCCCTCCAGGAATATAGTCTATAGTTCACTGTTGGCCATGTAGTAATGTCTCTATATATCGCTCCAGGAATATAGTCTATAGTTCATTGTTGGCCATGTAGTAATGTCTCTATATATCCCTCCAGGAATATAGTCTATAGTTCACTGTTGGCCATGTAGTAATGTCTCTATATATCCCTCCAGGAATATAGTCTATAGTTCACTGTTGGCCATGTAGTAATGTCTGTATATATCGCTCAAGGAATATAGTCTATAGTTCACTGTTGGCCATGTTGTAATATCTCTATATATCCCTCCAGGAATATAGTCTATAGTTCACTGTTGGCCATGTAGTAATGTCTGTATATATCGCTCAAGGAATATAGTCTATAGTTCACTGTTGGCCATGTAGTAATGTCATATTGTCTCATTATGTCATCGACACACTAGATATATTTAGAGTAAGTCGAATAAGTTCGTGTAAATATTTTGAATAGGGTCCACTTCATTAAAAGTTGAATCTGTAGGACGGCGTTGTGTAGACATGGAGTGGTGAGCAGTAAACACCCCTTATCAGCGTGATCTCCCCAAGTCTCGGTAAACCACGTTATATCCCCACGTGACCCTGGAATGAAGGACGTCGACACGACAAGTACTCAACACCGTCATTGAGTCAGCAGATCACACCAACAACACTGTCACCAATGGACTTCCACCACTTTCATTCACAGAAAGCCTAATCCCCCGGCTATCGATCAACTGTTAAGACTGTCATAGAGTAGAACCTGCAATGCGAGGATAATCCAAGCACAAGCAGAGAGTCGTCATGTTGGAATAATGTCTTTCAAATAATAGCGACGTAAATTGAAGGATTGTCTTGATCCATCGAGCAGCTGGGAATTTGGAGAATTATACTTAGTTACTACATGGCCAACAGTGAACTATAGACTATATTCCTGGAGGGATATGTAGAGACATTTCTACATGGCCAACAGTGAACTATAGACTATATTCCTGGAGGGATATGTAGAGACATTTCTACATGGCCAACAGTGAACTATAGACTATATTCCTGGAGGGATATGTAGAGACATTACTACATGGCCAACAGTGAACTATAGACTATATTCCTGGAGGGATATGTAGAGACATTTCTACATGGCCAACAGTGAACTATAGACTATATTCCTGGAGGGATATGTAGAGACATTTCTACATGGCCAACAGTGAACTATAGACTATATTCCTGGAGGGATATGTAGAG